ATGCTTTTTGATATGACCATGCTTGCTCCCTAGAGTCTTCACGCTCTCCACCAGCAGAAGTCTGAAGACAGGGAATAGAGCCTGGTCTGTTACTTAACTCTGTTGCCACCTGCAAGGTTGCCACTTAGAATAGTGTTTTATCTGGTGTGAAAATTGTTCCAGTAGAAACGGGACTGAAAGTTCCAGCTCATTTCAAATAGGCCACCACCAAGGATTCACTGAGAATTGTATTTTTTAACATCTTTAAAAGTTCTCACCAGTATCAGCCCAATGGATAACGTGATGGACACACATCTAGCTTGCTGGCTTTGTTCTCCGGTTAGTGTTTGCTGGCAGATTTGATTTTTGAACTGCTTTCTTAAGGGAAGCGCTGCCAGACATAGCTCATTATTCATAAGTTATTTGGGTTATTGGTGGATTGTTTGATATTATCCCTAAAGAGAGAGAAAGAGAGAGAGACTGTCAGACTGAGTGTCAGCATATGCCTGGTTTGTTCTAGAAGTGCTTAGATTTGATACTCCTTGAACTCAAAAGAGCAGCCTGGATCAGTATATTGCTCTTTACTCTTTGTGCTATACCTACAGGCTGACAGCTGTGAGGAGAAACACACCACTTGGATTCAGAGTGTCTGCCAACTTCTTGCCAGCTCTCTATAATTTTGCTTGTCTCGTAGGCAGGGTCCAGGGTACAGTCATAGGTAAGGTACATTTAGAGAGACAAGGCATGTGCCGAGCTGCTCGCCTGTCTAATACTAGACTTTTAGATGCTGTCTATGCAGAAGAGGGAGAAAGGTAAGCTTCTAATTGGGAGTGGTTTAAAACATCTTATAGGGATTTGAGTGAGCATAGGCTATATATTAAACATATTATGTGTACATTACTTTTATATAAATGTATTATAGATGCATGTCTGGTTATTTAACTAACTACACATTTAAAATCAATTGTGAAAGTGTAGAAGCTTAGCTCCAATGAAATCAGTGGCAAAAAAAATAATTTGCAGTTTTGTATGCTTAAATTATAAGAAATGAAGTGGAATAATGCGCACTGAAGATGCATTACTGAAAACTAGTTAAACACATGTGTGTTATTGTAAAGGTAGGCACAGGCATTGATAGAAATCATTATTCTTTGTGTAGGTGTCTCAGAAAACAGGATAGGCACGCAACATGAAACCATCTTAGGAAAACATGGTGACCATTATTTTGGCTTATACTTTCTCAGGATAAATCTATTTACCTGCTCCCTAGAGGACTGAAATGTTTGGATTGCATTCCAGTGCAATACTTTTTTTCTTCAAAGATTCATGTAGTTCTTGAAGAAAGTCTCATTGTATATCATGTGATCCAAAGACCATGACAAGTCCAGAAGGCTCTTTTGCAATGTTGTAATGAAAAGTAGGTAACAGAGGGAAAAAAAACAAGTATGATTTGGTCATCATAGTTCAGCCGCCCAACACAAGGATTAGTACAGCGGGAATTTGGGGAGTATGCAGAACTAACATGCATGCCCATTTTCGTCACTCTTGCATGGCCATTTCCGTTTTCAGAAAATTGTGAGCTGCTTGATGTGAATATGTGTGGATGCTCTTCAGTTTCTCTGCAGCAGGCAGAGATATTTGCATGTGAAAATCTACTGATTTAGCTAAAAACCATAAAGGTGAATGAATGAATTTCACTGTCAGTGGTAAAGCAGGGAAGAAGAAACCAAGTGTACTGTCAACAGTGTTTGCCGTGTGCCAGCCAATAGAAAAAGTTCATCGTATGCCATATGCCAAGCAGTTGGAAACTAGATTTGTGCCATATGCCAAGCAATTGGAAACTTCGTTCAGTTTTGATGTGGCTATTCTGAAGTAAATGTGCATGAAAAAACATATGGTTTTTGTCAGCCAAATGTGTGACAGTCCCATTTCCAGACTGTGCCATTCAACTGTGTTAATAAAACTAATATTTGTATTTTTTTGTTGAAGTGTTCCTCATCTGGTGAAAAAAAGAATTCTTCCAGAACCCAAAGAATATTCAACCAAAAGCCACAATCTCCCTTCTTTTTGTTTTCTAAAAGATCTCTTCCTTCATGGCTCTGTCCAGGCACTGAGTTGTCAGTGTCATGCTCAGGTGGGATGCCCATTTTCTGCTGGTTCATTCAAATCCAACACTCCAGCTGTGGAAGTATGTATAAATACAGTGGGCTGGCTCCAGACAGCAAGCGAGGGGGTTTGCCAGGCCACTTCCACATGCAATGCTGTCGTCGCACAACATTCATCAGTCTGTTGCTCCTAATGTTCAGCATGCCTTGGACTTGCTTTATATTTTCTTTCCATAAGGCACCTGTACAACTTTCACGTTGCTCTCGTTTAGAAGGATGAGCCTGAGACAACTCTGTCATTAAGTGAATCTCTTTCTCCCGTTGTTCTCTCCACCAGTGAGTGCCAGTGAACCTGAACCAGAGACAGAGACAGAACCAGAACCAGAACCAGAGCAGGAGGCTGAGGCTGAGGCCGAGCAGGGAACGGAGACACCCAAGGAAGTAGAGGCTACAGAGGTGGGACCAGAGAGTGAGGTGGAGCAAGGACCAGAGAGAGAGCCAGAAGAAAGTGCAATACTCAGTGAAAAAGAGAGGCAGAATGAGGAAGTGAATGAAAAAGACAACTGCTCTGCATCCAGCATATCCTCAGCAAGCAGCACTTTAGAGAGGGAAGAGAGAGAGGACAAGTTAACCAGTGACAATGAAACTGGTAAAGTGAAGCTTTTTCAATAATGAAGGGGTTCTGGTGGAAAAAAAAAATAATGTTCAATTAGCAGCTCTGTTGTTGCGTTAATTAGCTAACAAACACTTTACACCTAAGACTTTCTTCACCATGGCCAAGTCTGGTCTACTCTCTGCTTGGAAATTCACAGACTTTGATGGGGTTTCTATGTTTGAGGGACAGCAAGGCCTTGATGAAATGAGGTTTCCTTTGATTCGAGACCATTTTCTTCCCCTAAGATTATTAAGTACTGAATCATTACGTTGCAGTGACTGGCATCTCTGGCTCCCAGAGAATTTCTTTGGGTGTTCTACACATAAAACAATGAGATGAGGGACCATGCTGACGTGATTTGTCATGAGATTCCAGATACCTTTTCTCATCCTTTTAGTGGAAGAGGAAGAGCAATGAGGGCTGGGATGTTTGTTCCTTCCCTCCAGTTCTGATGTCTTGGTGAGGTTTCAGAAAGCAGAGCGAGACATGTAGTTGCTGCTGAAGTTGGGTCTGGGCTGTGGCCATCTTCTTAGCTGGTGTGGAGGAGGCACATGAAATAGACCTTGTCTGGAAAAGACCAGTTCTGTAGTGACCAGTGGTTCTGGTCAGGTGTGCCAACAGGCACCTGTAAAGGCTCAGCCTGGAAAACACCTCAAGAAGCAATTTTCTGCCTGGAGAGAGAGTGGCAACCAGAGCTTGTCATGCAGCCCAGGCAGGGAGGGACGGAAAGGCAGATTTTGACCATTCTTGATTAATTATTCTTTTCCCCTTTTTATAGGGAAGTAAAGGAATGGAATGTAATTAGGGCATTTGGTTCCCAAGTTTTCTTAGGGCTGAACAGTAGAGTGCATTGTCCTAAGTTTTCTAAATTCTAGGTAAGAAAACAAGAATTGCTTCACAGTGTGAAACAGTCTTGCTGTTTCCTGAAAGAACAGGGATAACTCTGAATCACAAGGATTACCTCACAGAGATGAACTGTCAGATTGTACTGTTCATGTTTAAACCTTATCACTTTTTTTTTTCTTTTCTGGGAAGCATTAAGTTAATTTTATTCTGAATTTAAGAGCTATCTTCTTTTCAACCAGCACCAAGATTGAATTACTTAGAATGCTATTGTACTCTTCAAGAATGTAGATGGATATAGATGTAGGAAAGAGAGGGGAAGTATGACAGATGAAGGATGTCCCTACCCTGTGGCATAGTCCAAGATAGTCCAAGTGCAAGTAAAGGAGAACAGGTTGCAGGTTTTTCCCCTCATCTTGTCTGTTACCAACCTGCTACCACTCTAAGTGTGTATGTACTTTTTGTTAAAAGCTAAGAAATATACCCTGTTAGCAAAAACTCAACATCTTAAAATTGACCTGCGTTACCAGGAGACCAAAGATTTATTGGGTTATGAGGTCTCATGATCTGAGTTGTTTGCTCTCTAGTAGGTGAGGAGATTCGGGAAGCAAACGAGAATGCTTTCTCCAGCAGTTCTGACATTCCCAATAAGCACTTTGCCATTTATGAGGTGACCCATTGGTTCTGCCCAGATGCATTAAGGACAGAGGAATAAAGCCTTTGGTCCTGGTTCCTCCTTCGTTAGCAATCCTGCTACAAGTCTTGTTTCTCCAATGATATTTCAAAGCTTTACCTGTGGAGAGGAGGGCAGAAGAGACCAGCAAGGTAGCCAGAGTCTTCACAACAATAATCTTTGATCAGCTATGGCACATGAAAAGTCATAGGAAGCCTTGGGGAGCCCAAATTAGAGATTGTCTCGGGGGGAAATTCAATGAGCAGTTTTGCAAAAGGGATTAAATCCTGGAAGATCCCAGCTGGTGAAACCGAGAGCAGGTAGGTCATGCGGGATTTGCAGGAGGGACCCTGGGAAGGAAAGGCTAGGAGTAGGGGGAAATCCTCTGTGGTTTAGAGGTTGATCTGAATAGAGGTGAGAGTCACTGCTGTCCATATGCTTCGTGCTATGAGACCCATCCTACATTTTAACATGGTGTTATTTTAAAGGGGCAGGGGGGAGCTGTGGGGCCTTGGATGTAGATCTCACTGAGCACATAACTTCTCAGAGCATAGGGCTAGATGTCATGGTGAGAAAGCAACTCCATTGATGAAGGAAGCCATAAAAGATGTTTAAAACTCAAAAGTATTGAAAAAGGTTGGAGCATAAGGAGAGAAAAAAAGATAAAATGGAAGTTTAAGAGAAAGGGCAACTGACAGGTATAAAAGAAAATCTTTAACCATAAGGGGCCAAAAGGAAGGCAGGCTAGCAATAAAAATAAGATGTTTTTAAGAAATAGAGTTTATAAAAAATATATTAATAAAATGTGTAAAGACTATGGGGGACAGAAGGAATGTCCTACAGGAAATACAGTAAGTGTGAAGAATTATTTTTGTCCATGGTTAATCACTTCATCTGATGCCCATTGGAAAAAGAAGCACCATAGTTTTTAGACACATTATCCCCATTGGTTAGGAGTATTATATTCAGGGAAATGTACTCGAAGAGACACTTACATCATTTGTTTTTACAATTTGACTGCTATAGTTTGTTATTTATGGTGCTGTCTCAGACATGGTATTTTGCAGATTATTCTTGGGAAAAGCAGTAGTCAGAAAGATGAAGCTTCATTACAGTGACATGTTAAATGATTGTGATATGGGAAGAAGGCCATTGGGCTTCTGATTCCGTCATATATTACAAGGAGGGTAACAGTGGTTGATGAGCAGCATTTTCAAAAATCTTTTATAAAGGTGCTCATATTCCTAGAAATAACTTTAAAAATCTTGCTTATACTTATACTCAGTGAGTTGCCCTGAGAGCCGTACCCTGGGGTATTATGCAGCCTGCTCTGGGATTCAGATAGTCCGTGTTGTGAAGACGACCCGGGTACCCAGCCAGGAGGTCTGAGGAACAGCCAGATGTGAAAGCTGTCCTCCCCTAGCCAGCAAGGAGGGAGGAGGAGGAGGAGTAAGCAGTTACATGTTGACCTTGACATCAGGCAGGGAAGATCTCTTTTATAAGGAAGTTTTCCAGGGGTGGTTCCAGTTTATGGCCAGGTGAAAAGTACAACGATAACCTGTTTTGTGCTATTGCCGTGATATTTAAGCCCCATTCCAGATGAGTAACGGTTCTGAGCATTTATGCACTGTATAAAATGAGCTGGGGTAGTAAGTACAAAGTGAAATCTGACAACCTGAATCTTGAAATCCTGACAGCTATATAGTCCCTCCCAAGCTACACTGATTATTTTCTGCTCCCATTCCTTTCTTTGAGAATTACTCCCAGCCCATCAAGATTGGGCCATATATCAGCACTGTCACTTATTTCAAAATTTTCAAAGCTACTGCTTGCCCAGTTTCAGATTAATTGTGCATGTGCCCCCCAACTTTTTTCTGGTGGGTTGAAGAGTGTTCTTGGCGCTCTGGCTCCCTCCCCTTGACTCTTCCCATCTGTGTGTGTGTGATTGCAGGTCCATGGTCGCAGACCATTCAGGATGCTGGTGTGAATGAGCAGTGCAGCAACATCCTCAACAACAAGCGGTTTATGCTGGACATGTTGTATGCGCATAACAAAAAGCCCAAGGATGAAGAGGAGAAGGAGCTGGAGGCGAAGGAGGAAAAGAAGGAGACGGAGGAAAGCGACGAGTCACTCACTAGCCTAGCCAGTAGGATCTCTATCCTTCAGGCGACGAAGCAGGCCAAAGATGAAAGTGTCAAAAAGATGGAGATCGGAAATCTGGACAACCAAGGCAGCGTGAAAGCCTTTGCGGAAAAATTCAACAGTGGTGAGCTGGCCAAGGGGACAGCCATGCCTGAAGATGAAATCAGTGAACAGGTCCCCGAGAAAACACCAGCACAGCCAAAGAAGGAATCTGACTACATCTGGGATCAGCTCATGGCTAATCCTAGAGAACTTAAAATCAAAGACATGGATTTTACAGACTTGGGGGAGGAGGATGATGTAGATGTGTTGGACATGGATATGGGTCCTGGGGACTCCCTTGTTCCCCCTCCTCCACCTCCACCTTCTTTTCTGGGTTTGCCTCCTCCACCACCTCCCCCGCTGTTTGGATGTCCGCCTCCACCTCCACCCTCTGCTAATTTATTGGCTCCTCCTCCGCTGTTCAGCACTCCTCAGGGTTTAGGGTCACCCCAGGTTTCTAGGGGTCAGCCAGCATTTATAAAGAAGAAGAAAACCATCCGTCTGTTTTGGAACGAGGTACGGCCATTTGAGTGGCAGTGTAAAAACAACAAACGCTGCAGAGAATTCCTGTGGTCGAAACTGGAACCCATTAAGGTGGACACTTCCAAACTGGAGCATCTCTTTGAGTCTAAATCCAAGGAACTGCCTGTCACAAAGGTACAGCTCACATTCAGCTTGCTATGATTTTGCTATTGTATTGGTATTCATTCTGACTTAGATCCGGGTGATTTATGTTGTTTATATGAAAACAGTGGAAATTACTGAATGTGTTTCTAGCTTAGCCTATGACAGAAGATATTCCATGGCCTCAAACTAGGAGATGAGGCTAGGGTGGTCTATGTGCCAAGCTGCCCTCTTATCTCAGGTCTACCGGATTTGGAGTATCACTTCAGGTGGAGAATACCAACGAATTTCACATTAGTTTGTTCATAGCTGAGCGCCAAACTAGCTATTGAAATCTGAAATATTTTCTGTTACATTCATATAAAGGTCACGGACAGCATGATGATTCATTTCTGTGTATTTGACAGTTCTTCACTTGGTAATATTTTCCTAATCATTATGTGGAAAGGTTAGAATATCAAACTGAATCTGCTGCAAAGAGCCTACACGTGCGCTTTGTTCTGAAGGATCGATTTATCAGCTGGACCAAGTTTACAGCTAAACTCTGCAGGGGTGTTGGGTTTTTGTTTTATACTGGTGAACAGGCCTATTTTAAATCCTTAATTTGTACAATGTGGCTAGCCAAATTTTAGGATAGAAGTTGGCACAGGAACTACCTCTGTAGCTAGAATTCCCTCTTCCTTAGGAGCGTTGTTATAGAGTAAATTCACAAAGGCTGGTGACATGGCTGTTTAACATTAGACTCAACAACAAAAGGAAGTCTTTTATAGTTACATTTAGTAGGAATTTGAAGTAGCATTAAAAAAGTTATTAGCTTGAGCATTTGTTTTTCATGGCTGCACAAACTCTGTTTCTTCTAAGCAGAGTAATCGGTATCAGGGAAACAATGTTTTTTTCCAGTTAAAATGCTAGTAAAAGATGTCCATCTCTCTTACTTAAATGAATCACTTCTATGTTTTCTATGTTTTCCTATATGTTCTATAGTGACATAAAAACCAGTCAGTACCTTGAATATTTTACTTCTCTTTAGCTGGCAAAAGTCGTTACATATATTATGTATCGTATATGTTATTGTTTGCTCTTAATCTGGGGAGACTGGATGTCTTACGGCAAAAGTTCTTCATGTCACGTGTCTGGGTTAACTCAAAATTTTCTAATAGTCATTCTTGATCTTCTTGGCCAAGTGGAAACATTGTGATTTGAAGAACAGTCAGGCCCCTCATTAAGTACCTAGCAAACAACAGGTACGTAAGTACATGGCCTGTGTAGATCCTGCCATCGCTGTTCTTAGTGGAATTTTTTGTGACACAAATGCATGTAGATCCGAAAAGTATGGCATAGCAGCTCTAAAAACACATTCAGCTGATCAATCGTTCATTTGGCCGATGTTGAGATTAATTTCTCTAATTCCTTTTCTACTGAGGAAGGAATGCTGGTGATGTCGTGGCGTGTTACTCCTCATCTCTCTCCCTGTAAATACAAATCTGCCACAGATGGTTCATAGATGGAAGGAATGAGAGTGTTTTCTTAGATCCATAAAACATTTAATTCCTCGAATTGAATGTGGAATGATGACATATTTGCCATTTCCAAACTTTAGCTTTGTGCTAAAAGCCAGCATTGTAATGGATCAGTCTGGCTGATTCTTAATCTTTTAATCTCACCCAGAAATACTGATAAAATGTTAAATTGCTGGAATTTTGACTTGTTCACTTTTCCATTATTCACCGTGCACGTTTCCAAACTACCTTTGGCCATTTCCCCCCTAACACACTTGCTTCCCAAACCTGCCTGATGCTTTGGCACAGCTTTTTGGCTTCTGGCTGGAGGATGAGTGAGCAGGTTTCTTTGAAATTAGTGCAAGTCTGAGGAATGATTTAGGTGACTGCTTTCCTCATGGAGACTAATAACGGCTCTCTGCATGAGACATTATACTTTTGGCTGTCTTTCCCCCCCGTCCTATAACACAGACATAGAAGTCTCATTGTCTCTGTAGAGAAGACAATGGCGACCGAGGAGTGCGGTAGTGGAGGTCTGCTTAGACTTCTGAGACTCCTGTGTGGTTTTGGTGAATACCAGCAAATCTTCCAGGAGATGGTCCTTATATCAAATGAGAGTGGGAATAATTAAGCAGACCACTGAATCCGTAAAAGACTTGAGGTTTGGTATGAAGATTGCACTCAAATTAGGATAGCTCTCGCTTTTTCCAGACTGCTTGGTTTATTTCCAGGGAGTACATTCCCCGTTGTGTCTAGCTTCTCCTGTCCAATGGCTGCAATCCAAAACAGGTTTATTCTATAATATCGTAAAGTCTGACTCACAGCTCAGTTGGTTCAGCTGAAAAAGAGTGCAGAGCAACAAATCAAAAGTCAGATCTTCAGATTTCATAGCAATAGATGGAAGCAGGTGCATGGAAAAGGAACAGTCCAGAAAGATGAGAGGAAAAGCGAAGTCAGGGTGTGTAGGGGGGTGCTTGGCTCAATCTCGTGCATGTGCTCTTTCATACAGCTGTAACCAATTTTACTCCAGTTTCTAATCTTTCACTGTGATTTCCACAACACACAGCTATAAACAGCTACTTCCTGGCCCATGAGAAGTTTTTCATTAAACACAATAGACTGCAATAAAATAAAGTGGATTTTAAATTGTAGGATATAATATGGAAGTTGTGGGGGCAGGGCTGGGAAGGGAGATTCTTGATTTTAGGAAAACTTATTCCACACTGGACAACTCACACATTGATTATAGTTAGTGGAGCACCTTAAGTTGCAAAATGTTGATTTTCTGGAATAGAGGACCACAACATTCTGTTTGTGAATAGAAAGAGATTGTTCAGGTATCCCCTCCAAGCCAGTCTAGAATTTCTTTCCTTCTCACTCTGCCAAACAAAGCAGGTATTTTGGCAAAGTACTTCAAAGTGTTTATTTTTCTGTGAAGAGAAATGAAAACACACAGGCACTACTGAATCAAACGATGTTGTTCAGCCCTTCTGCCATCCACTTGGTTCTGCGTGTCATTGGGAAGTATTATTTTGCTGATTCATCTATGCCCTGTGGGACATAGTGATCTATCATGTGCCCACAGACATAAAAACTAGTAGGAGTGAAAAATTAAAGAACGTGTTTTCATGTACACGTGTATATACATGCTTCGACACATACTCCTTTTAACAGTGTTTGTTGCAATTTGAATAAATGCCAAGGCAAGTCATAAATGTGGACCAGAATTTCTGAAAAAGGTTATATATATGTGTCCCGGACAAAGCCAGTGGCAGCTGAGTGATTCCATTTTAAATCACTGGTGCTAAATCCTTGCTAACTGAGATAGAAATAAAAAAATTGCCAGCTTGCTATTAAGGGTTTGCCCATTTTTTTCTGTACTGCTGATGCAGTTTAAATGCAGGAGATATTTCTAAGTTGATGGTCATATAAAATTACTTATTTATATGACCTCTGGAAAAGTGATTTAAATTTTTCTGCTTCCCATCTTAATTAAAGCAAAGAGGCGTGTTCTAGACTATGTGCTCATCAGATTGCTTCTGTAGGACTGTAACAGCTTTTGGCTAACCGATCTTGACTACCCAGCCTTCAATAGAGGCAACAGAATCTGGCCAGTTAGGTCTTTTAAAGATCTAAATTCACTGCAGTTGTTAATACCTTGCAGGAATGTTTGTTTCCCACAAATTATACCACCTGATATATTTGTATTTTATAATTAATTTTGTGTTTACATTTAATAATATAATTTTCAGCAGTTCAGGGCTCATGTTACATACTGACACGTTAAAATGTAAAAATCAAGTGCACTAGTGCACTGTTCCCTCAAGCATTTGGTCATTCTCTGTTAATGAACTTATAAAACACAGTCTGAAGTCACCTAATATTTTAATAGAAATTAATAGTCATAGCTTATTTTAACAGTCAGACACTTACACATGTGCAATTTCATTGCAGACAAAAAGGAATTCTTTTCCTAGCAGTAGGGTAATAAAGTTCATCGTAGTAAAACCTTTCTCTTTTCTTCATCCTTTTATTTATTTGGAAAGGATTTCTTTGTAACTCAGACATTGTTCCCAGAATGAATTTAAAATCTCTTCTGCCCCTGTTTTTGAAAAAAGGTACTTACCCCAAATTTTTATACCCCGTATGCAGTTATAGCTCTGGAAAATACCTACATTCTTACATCCCCTATACAGCTCATCTGTCTTTCATAACTCACTGTTAAGGAGAGAGTGCACTGTAGCAATTGCAATCATCTCAGCGGTTAGCATCATGTGTCCCTCAAATGAATATGTTTCTCTTGTCAAACTTGGGAGCCTAAAAGCAGAGCTGCAGCTCTGAGGCTTACTTACCCATACCGCATGTGGGAAGCCTAAATTTAACTCCTTTCCCCCAGCCTTTTCCCTTATTCTCTGCATAAATTCTTGGGAGCTGTGTAATTCTGTGCTGCAAAGGACAAGGTAAAAAGTGATGGTTTAAAAAAGGCTTTGTGCAATACAGACTCAAGAGGAAGCAGTCTCTGGTGAACCCCGCTTGTTTTTATGTGGTCTTGGCCACTAACTGTGGTCCTGAAAATGTGATTAATGGCCCTGGAAGTAAAAATGACTGCTTTAAAGGAGAAGCTGCATCTCAATCCTTCAGGTAGCTCCCCAAGAAAAAGAAGACTTTCTTAAAGAAGGGAAAGTTCAAGAAGGCTTCAGGGATGCTTTTGAGGTGGTAAGAAGAGAGCAGTTATGACAGAACAGATATCTAAAAATTGAAAACAAGTGTTATCTTTGTTCTCCTAAAATTCATCCTGTTTACTGCAAAAGTGTTGTTTCTTTTTAAGTTTAAAAAAAAAACCCCAAACCTCTCATTACTTTCACAGTTGCATCATACCATGTTAATCATGTTGGTATGATGGAAGGGCTGTGGTGCCACACACATGCTGGGCAGGCTGCTGGGACCAGTGGGCATACCTCTTCCTGTGCAGGCAAGGAACTGAGCTATGCCAGAAAAAGGCATCTTTGTAATGATGTAACTGCATTCTCATTATGGGCTGACCCACAGCCAGAGGTACTTTGATAAAGTCATACTTATTAATTTAGAATCAGCATGTAGGCCTGGTAGTAGGGCATTTTTTGATTCAGTGGTGGCTGTGGTGCAAACCCAAGGGAAGTGGAAAACAAAGCTTCCTGGTCTGAAAGCAATCCTGAGCACAGATCAAGACTGGGGCAGTAAGAATCCTGTGCAACAAGCTCTAGGTGATCCTGCTTTAGCAGGGGCGTTGGACTAGATGATCTCCAGAGGTCCCTTCCAAGCCCTACCACTCTGTGAATCTGTGAATCTCCTCCTGGACCTCCCCCAAATCTACAAGGGATACAAGAGGCACTACCTGTGTAGACAACATGGATGATTGATTCTCTGTTCTGAACAGCTGTATGGGCTGCCACATTGCAGCCTGGAAAGAGAGATTGCTTAGTCTCTCTCTTTGCCCCTTTGAGGTGCATCTGTGCTGAGGCTGCTGCTGCCAGAGCTGCCAACCACAGTCCAGGTAGCAGCCTCTAGTCACGTCTCTGCAGCTTGTGCCTTGCTGAAACACAGGTTTACACACAGCAAAGCGTGTCTGTGCTTTCTTGCGTCAATGTGTTGGTCTTCTCCCTACACTCCTGTGCTTGACAGCTTCCCTCAGCCCATCTCTGACAGGGCAAAGGAAGGCAAAACAGAAAAAACATTTTTCCAAAGTTCACGTGTGTGGAGAGGGAGGAAAAAACCCCTGTGTATGAGGAGCATAGTCCTCTCCTCTTGCGGCTGTCTGGTATATGATATCTATAGTTGCCAAAGAGACACCTTCTGGCATGGGACAGTGAGAGAATGAGAGACATGCTGAGGTGTAAAAGTAAAGACCACATTCAACACTGCATTACGCCATATAAATGGTTTGTGAGTCATCTTGCCTAGCTGGTTCACATTTTGCCACTGTGAGAACGGGGAGAGAGGAAGAAATTTCTTGGGTTTTCTTTAGAATGGAATTTAAAGCGTATGTTGTTAGTTCTTTGTGCTTTCATTATTATTTGTACTGTAGTTTATACTGGAGGTGAGATCCAAAGATTATGTCTAGTCTCAAATAAAACTTTGAAAAAAGCAGAAGGGTTGAAGTTGTTCTGCACCTGTGAAGGGCTTGACAGTCATATCATGAGCAGCAAGGTAGAATACCCTTCCTCTGGCAGCCAGAGGGCAGAAAACCATGCCAGTGTCTCCAGAAAGGCCTCTACAACTCCTTTGCTGGTGCCGGAGGTGGATTTATCCCACGGGAGAGTGCTGGCAGGCAGGTGGGAACCACCCCGTGTGTTTCCCAGCCAGCCACGCAGGCGAGAGAGGGTCGGCAGCCGCTCTGGGTTGAAACATCCAAGGGGTAATTGACCCTCGGGGCCCATCATCAGCCCGGCTGCTGCCCCGTCAGCCCTGCACCGGCCGGTCCTGCCGCACGGCAGAGCTCTCGCCCGGCGGGGACAGCTTCAGGCTCTTTTCAGACCGACTCTTGCCCCAAGTGGCAGCATCCCCAGCCCTCGCGGGGACTCCTGTGTCTCAGGCTGGCTCTGCTTTGCGTGGCATCTGAGACTGCATTCAGCTCTCTGGTTAAATCCTGGCAGCTCATGTTGATACCAGCAAGGATGTGGTAAAAGAATTCAGCTTTTTTGGATGACTACAAATGCATTAGATTTACATTCAGGGTCAGCACCCTTGAGTAGGGGAAGTCATTAGCGAAAGGAGTGACTTTTTCATTATAAAATAGGCTGGAGGAATAATGTTCTTGTTCTCTTCTTTACCAAGAAAACTGCTGCAGATGGGAAGCGACAGGAGATCATTGTATTGGACTCAAAACGAAGCAATGCTATTAATATTGGCTTGACTGTGTTGCCCCCTCCCCGGACTATCAAGACTGCTATTTTGAACTTTGACGAATATGCCTTAAACAAGGAAGGAATAGAGGTAAGAAAGAGTAGTCAATGTCTTCAAGTCTGCATTTTTCAAAAATTTTTTTTTTCAATATTGCAGATGGTATGGACCAGACTTATCATGGAAGAGGAAAAAGAGGATGCATTATATCATGACTGAGTGTTGTAATTCATCGAATCAATGCAGTGTGCTCAGAAGCATGTAGTATTCCTCTGAGGCTGAGCATGCTCAGTAAGCATGGATTTCTCTGCTTTGTGTCCAAGTTTGAGTAACGATGCTGTTAATTCCTGTCAAGATTTTCAGAGTATTATCTGTTCCTCTGAAGCCTGACTGAAATATTGCGAACAGCAAGAATAGGCAGTGAGTTACTAGGGCTGATGCAACTGGTACAGGGTTTAATAAAGTTCATGCCCAGCTAGCTGTTGGAGTCATTCTAGATTGTATATCTAATGGAAAACAAATACAGTGACTAGTTCTGCTCAAAATAGCATTTCTGTGTTACTGTTGTTTGAAGAAAAGCAGTTGGTATAAATATTACAGATGATGTAATTTTTACCATTGCATGTTTGACTTTGCAGATATTCTTACTGAGATCCAAGATGGGCTCTGTTTATTATTTTTTTATCAAAACATTTTTCTTCTATGGAGCGTAAAAGAAGCCTGCTGCTCCCCTATTTTTTTCATTGTGGTTGTATTAATTTCAAATCTTTTTTTCTTTTTTTTATTCTAATAAGCCTATGTCATCTAGTAAGAGTAATCTGCACAACTACAAATCTCAACCAGTGGCTGAGCTGCAGAGGTCATGTATGGATTCACAAGCACCTTTCAGTGGTTTGGCGCTGTGTTTCATGATTTCCCCCTTTCCACCTTCACTGTGCTGACTACAGAAGAAAATGAGAAAAGCTGGCTGGAATGGAAATACAGTTGCCAACAGTTACATGCAAAAGAAATACTTAAGGCAAAAGATCGTTCTAGCTAGAAGAAGAATCTAGCTGATTTATTCCTGCTAGAATATAGTTTCTTCCCAAAGCTATATTACTTATTTGCTATATACATACCTTACTCATATTATGAAGGTGACGAATCAGGCTAAAAAAGTAATTTTTCATGACCCAGCCCATATACCCACCACTGCAGTTTGCAATACTAAGCTTTAAAGTGTTGGAGAAAAGTACCCCTCCAGCCAAGCCCAACTCACAGACCGCTGGTTAGATCTCAGTGTTTCCATGCAAAGTCAAACATAAAATGGCTGGTAAAGAAGGACACATCTTTATTATCTTCCATGTATCATCTCCTTTGACTTGTCTTCTCTGGCACACTTAACAGAAGCTCAGCTGCTCTGCACAGCTCACCCTTTTCAGTGCCAACATTTGTAGCTGGACTGTCCATCTGCCAACCATCTGTGGTGTCCACAGTTGTGAGTGCCTTGTACCACCACACCCTCCTTTGGGTGGCCTTTCCATTAGCTGCCAGAAACCCATAATTTCATTTAAAATATATATGCAGGTAGCTTTCAAATTGAAGAATTCAGAAACCAGGAAATGATACACTGTTGATATACTTGCCCAGTGCTAAAGAAAATGGAATTTCTGAGTTCTGTGTCCACAATTTGAAGCTAAGGATGAGAGCAATCCCGATGTGATCATTCAGGTAGCTAAAATTGAGAGAAAGGGAGTAAGTTGAATATGAGCCAGCAGTGCGTCCAGGTGGCCAAGAAGGCCAAGAGCATCCTGACTTGTATCAGGAACAGTGTGGCCAGCAGGACTAGGGAAGCAATTGTCCCCCTCTGCTCGGCACTGGTGAGGTTGTACCTTGAGTACTTTGTTCAGTTTTGGGCCCCTCACTGCAAGAACGACATTGAGGTGCTGGAGTGTGTCCAAAGAAGGGCAACGAAGCTGGTGAAGGATCTAGAGTACAAGTCTGATGAGGAGCAGCTGAGGGAACCGGGGTTGTTTAGCTTGGAGAAGAAGAGGCTGAGAGGAGACCTTATCGCTCTCTACACCTACCTGACAGCAGGTTGTAGCCAGGTGGGGTTGGTCTCTTCTCCCAAGTAACTAGCAAAAGGACAAGAGGAAATGGTCTCAAGTGGTGCCGGGGAGGTTTAGATTTGATATTAGGAAAAATTTCTTCACTGACAGGGTTATCAATCATTGGAACAGGCTCCCCAGAGAGGTGATGGAGTCACCATCCCTGGAGGTATTTAAAAGATCTGTAGATGTGGTGCTTAGGGGCATGGTTTAGTGGTGGACTTTGCAGTGTTATGTTAACGGTTGGACTTGATGATCTTAAAGGTCTTTTCCGATCTAAATGATTCTGTGATTCTATAGAGCAGAGCCCAGGTACTTTGCACCTTGAGGGATGAAGCCTTTATTGGTTGGGAAGGATGATGTTCATGGAGAAAAGAGCTTTTCTTTTCCCTCAATGTTCCATATTTATTTACTTCTTCTCGGGTAAAACCCTGAACTGAATTCAAATTCCCTTCCTCAGTCCCCAATTTACAGGTTCTTCTTGTAGCACGCTGTTACAGAGTCAGACAGATGTTCATAGCGAGATAGAGGGCTGGATTAAGCTATGCAGAATTGGCCAGGAGGTGCAAAGAGAAATACAGAAATGCATCATTGTGAGTCCCACTGTTTTCAGCAGAGCCCTGCCTCAGTTTTCCATACTTGTCCTTTGATCTACAGTGTAGACAAGCTTTGTTTCCTGTTTCTTTTCTCCTCTGTGTCCATTTGTTCATTGGCTTTAGCCCTAGCTTAGAGGGAACAGGAGTTGTCTTTTCAGTCTAGATTTATAGAAAGTTTTCTGGTTCCTATCTACAGTTCCTAAATATTAGAACATAATTGGTAGTGATGATGAATGAGTTGGTAATAGTGCAAGCATCAGCTTCATTTATATAAAAATGCAGATAATAAAGCAAATTATTGGCTATATATTTCATAGCTAATTTATGGGTCGAATGACATAGGAGTGGTATGGAAAAAAAATTATGCGATTGGTCTAATTAAAAAACTTCATCACAGTGGGTACTAAAAGCCTTTCTGCATAGGTAATAGTCTAGAAGAGATGTCACGGCTAGTAAGCAGAAGAGACAGATGTAAGGAGAGCAGGAGAAGAGATGTGTGTGGTGAGGACATAACATTCACTGCTAAAATTTCAGAGAAGCTATAATTTAGGATCATCAGCTTTTAGGGGATCCAGCACAGAGCAGGCCACCAACAGGTTATAAAGTCACCTGAGCCATCCTTTGTCTTGGCTGTGAGCTCTGTGCCTATGTCCCTCACTGAGGAGCATTGTCATTTGTCGTGTTAGCGTGTGTCTGCACCTTGGTAGATAAGTTCAGATTAAATGGTATCTTAAAACTTAGCAATTCCTTTAAGGGCAGTGGACTAAAGTAGTGCTGACAGTAGGGCTAGCAACAAGGCAGTGATGCAGTGGGATGCAGGCTACAAGTTTGTGATAGCCCAATTCATCAAATAAAACCTCTGCTACTGTCCTGCATTCTGCTGAATTCTGCTTTGCTTGTGCCATTTAACTCTTGTTAGTAATCCTTACTTTGCTTTTTAACTTCAAATATGTAACTAAGATACGGGAAAAAATTCTCCAGGTATTTTAAAGCCCTCTATACCTAAGTATGTTGCGTATTTTAGGCCATGTGTTTGAAGTGGTTAGGTACCCCTGAGCTGTGAAAAAGGGTGGAAAATGGGGCATGGCGCTAGAACGGCAGATGTAGTCCATTTAGTATGCAGAGCAGGCACTGTTAGAAACATATTTTCAAAGGAAGGCACACTGTGTGTCTGCAAGCATGCGTCAATCCAACTAAAGAAATTTTTGCCACCTTACGTTTGCCAAAGTGGTTGTGTTTTCCTTTCTTTGAAAGCTTGGCATTCATTGTGTTCAAACAACTTGGAGCTTGCTGCAGGATAAAGAACTGCCTGCTTAGCATGGATGAGGGCTTTCTGTGAGCTAAGCAAAAGAGGCGAGTTTAAAATCCTGGTGCCTGATGTTAATGAAGTGTATCACAGGCAACTGCTAGAATAGAGTCCACCGAACCAGTCCTTGGTGCTTGGCTTTTGTAAAGGAAATGAGTGGGTCTTTCTGTAAAGTGCAACTCAGTAAGGGAACGTGGATCAAAATAAAATTACACCAAAGAGTATGATTAATTTAGCAGATTAAAATGGGGGTGATGCTGTGAGGAGATTAAGGTGGGTTGCTTTGTGCTTTACAATATAGCTTTCTGTTGCTACACAATATTGTATTGTATTGGTAGGTATAATTTTTAGTAAAACCATTTGAAATGGTAAGCTCTCCAGGTATGCTAAGCCCTCCATCCTCACGTTTGTTACGTACTTTGAAGTCCATGTGTCCCGAGTGGCTAGGTAGCCCAGAAGTGTAAAAAGGGGTAAGGAATGAGAGCCTGGTGTTAAAAAGGCAAATGGTGACATGTATAAACAAAAAACAAAATTAGATTTTCAGAAACGATCAAGGTATTTAATTTTTTGTTCTCATAGTTGCCATGGTACATTGGCATTTGCAGTCTCCCATTTGTTTAGCTAATGCTTTGTAAAAGTGTGATGGGATGTTTCACATTATTCTAGCTCGCGTGACCTGAAAGAACACTTCGTTTCACAAGTCTAGACAGAAGAGAGAACGGACTCAACAGTGCACCCATGGTCACCGTAATGCTGCCCTAACGAGTTTCAGACTTTATTTTAAAAAAAAAAAAAAGTTACACTTTCACTCCTTGCAGCAAACCAAAACATCTTCTATGGTTTCTGTGACCAGCAATGGCATGTACACGTATTTCAGTAGAGAGCTGAGGAATTGGAGCTGTCTGACTGAGGCAGCAGCTGTCAGCTCCCACTTTACAGGGATGGCTATCAGGCATTTTAGATGTAGTCCCTCCTCAGAATTGGACGGTTTTTGGCAGAATTCATATAAAATTAGTGTGGGCAGCCACACTCACTATGGAATCCTGACCTTCATATGCTTTTATATTTTGTTAGAGTTTCTGCAGGTAATGCAAACCACTGACATGTCTTGTTAATAGCTGCCTGGAAAGCAGGAGCTGAATCGTCTGCTGAGGCCTGTCAGATATCTGATGAAATACCCACTAATGTGTATTGGGTTATGCAGCTTATGAACTTGTGGGCCTCGAGCCACAGAAAGTTTCGGACCCAACAACAACCAGATATTTAGTTTAGAATATTTTTGAGGCTCCTGTTTGCCTGGTAGAATCAGCTGAAACAAAATATAAAAGCCGAGGCACCCCTGCAACCTCATCATCACTGAGAAGCCCCATTACCTCTTGAAAGAACTTCAGCACCTAATTTCCACAGACGCTATTCGCAGTCTTTCATTAGGTGCTTCCTTGCATGTCACATTGAGGCCTGTAACCCCAGGCACGTGAGGCTTATAAATTTTGCCCTATGAGCCTTCTAAGGCTTTCCTCTTAGAAATATTTGGAGGTGTATTATATTGACGTATATTAGAAATATACGTCAGGATGGCTGAGTCCAGGTAATAAGCAGTTTGATCCCTTCGCTGAAAGTTCAAGCAAGTGGCTGGGTCCCACAGTTTGGGAACAGAACTATTAGGATTGATTATCTCATGCAAACGGGATCTCCAAAAATCACTTCTTTCTCTCCATGAAAAGATTTGTGCAGTTTTTCCTCAGAATGTTAGTCTCTGGCCCAAATGGTCGTGTGAGAATGCATGGAGGTGAAACATGTGTATCACACATATTACATATTAGAGGATACGAGCATAGGGGTTGTTGATAACCAGTTCTTCTTTAATCTACCTGAAGAGTGCCGTACTCGGAAAGCATTATGAACTAATGATTAGATTCAACGGTACTTGTGAATTAATGGTCATACTAAGTGCCAGTAACCTTCTGCCCTGCTGTGTTTTTATGCTGCTTTTACTGTTGGTAATGTTTAAAGAATAATAATAAAAATAATAATAAGCTGGCAGATGGTGTACTCATCAGTTTCCAGCACTGAACAAATGGCTCAAATTAGTCATAGAGTGCAAATCAAGAACAGGAATGTTTTACCACTTGCTGAGGGCACACCAGGGATGATGACCAGCAGGATAAGAATTATTTGCCCAAGCAAATTAGAAGTGCCAGTGAGTAAGTCATTGCTATGGGGGCAGTTGCACCCTGGATGCTGTGAGACCTGCCAGCAGCTCTGGTCCCATCGAGGCAGGGCTTTCAGCAGCAGGGGTAATCCTCAGCAGCTGGCACTGCAAGTACAGGCTCTTTCACTTGGCGTTCTCTGTTTCACATACTACGGTATGCAGCACAGCAGCCTTGCAGTACTTGGACTCAGATGCTTTTTGTCAGCTCCATCTGGCTTGTGGTGTTTACATAAAACTCAAGGAGGAAGAGAGTCCCTTTGGAAATAAAGCTTACTGTTTCATTGCTCTCTTTAAAATGCCCGAAAGCAGTGCAAAATCTCTTGAGTGAAGGCCCTGCACCACCACAAAATACTTGTGGGACTCCTGGGTAGCTGCCAAAAGTCCTAGTTATTTGTAGGAGGTAATTGAGAATACTGCTGAAGCGTTAGCCTTCAAAAATGCATCAGAAGCATTTTTACATCCATCACATGGCTACTGCTAAACTCTCCATGTATGGATGTTCATATGATCCTATTTGCAAGCTGCCCTGGCTCAGCTAAGTGAGTGTTGGCTTCTTGTTGTTGAAGAGAGGAGTAGACACTAGGAGGTCTGACTTCTTCAAAGGACACTCTGTGAAACACCCCTTCTTACAAGTTTCAGACTCAGTCTCTCTTTTTTTTATTAATATTTTCAGATGAATATTGGTTAAGCACTGAGAAGTGCCCTGAAGCAGCTACTTATAAATCTAGTTTGATGTTAGGTGTGACCTAAGTTACAGATTTCAGCTTGTGTGGATGGATGGGTGGATGGATGGGATGGATAGCAAATCTCAAAATCAATATACAAATGCTATTGATTGGAAGAGGTGTGCATCAGAAATTTTCCAAACAGTCATTGACAGGGGAAGGAAAATCACCAGAGAGTATTGAGGGATTTTCCTCCTCTTCTTTTTTCCTTAGAATATTAATTTATTAAGGTAGAAGCTCACAGTGTCCAAGCAAGGAGGCTTTTTTTTTTGCTTTATTTTAGCTGAAAGGCAGAGCCAACATTACAGAAAGAAATGCTTCTTTATTTACATTTGTGGAAGTCAGCATGAGAAGCTGGACAGCAATACAAATGTTGTGGCTGAAATTAAGTAAGTCCCAGTTCAACAAATTGAACATTATTTGCTTGCTTAACTCTTGTTCTTCACCTGATAGACCAAGAAAAGTCCCTTGCTTTCCACGCTTAGCAACAGCGCTGTATGAGGAGCCAGATGAATTATCGGTACTGGAAAGGGGCAGTTGTGCTACTTTGATGAATTGGCTATGTCCCACGCTGGAACAAGGCTGTAGTTTGGATTGGCAGGTCTGATAGCTCTTTGGCTGTATTTTTATTATTCTCCCCTCCCCTCCAAAACAGCCTGTATCATTATAGAAGGCTACAGCAAAAACATGTCATTCCTCAGATGAATAAACATAAGTTGTGTTGAAAATCTACTGCTTCTTTTTAATGAGGCATTGATCAGCAGGGTAAAGATCTCAACTTATCTGATGCCTTTGTGTTGTTTTGCTTTTGATTTTAAAATGCATTTAATCTGTCAAAAACTAATTAAGAAGCAATACTTTAGGGAGCAATACTTTGAGAAGGAAAGCTGCCGCATGTAAACAAGCATGGAAAATCCAAGAAATAAAGGGAAAATTTAAATGTTCTGAGTCATACTGACAGCAGTAACTGAAAATATAGAGAACCTTTTTCATCAATATTTTAGACTTTTCAGATCAAAAATAGAAAAGGCCATATGTTATGCAATGCATAATTCAGCTTTAAATTCAATGCGTGTTCCTTGGGAAGTTGTCCTCAGTTCGGGTGAAATTTTTGGGAGTGACCTAATAAGCTGCAATAGTTGTATTTTCATTTTAAAAAAAAAAACAAAACAGACTGAACAAAAAATAATAAATGTTGAGAACAGCAAGGGACAGGAGTCCTCAAATTATTTCTGTATACCTACAAGTGCGCTGGAAGATTCATAGATATTGAGGCTAAACGGGACTTCAATATCTAGTCTGACTGTAGATCACAGGCCACAAAATTGCACTCCTACCCTCACTTCCATATGTGATTTGCAGAAAGGTGGTCAGTTTTGACTTAAACATATAACAGCTGAGGAGAGCAGTCCTAACCAGTCTCCCTGTGTGTCCTTAAGTTTCATCCCGTGATTAACCATGTCTGCTGAGTACAAATTTTTTTAAAACAAGCATTTTAATACAGATGTGTTTTTTCAACAAACTGCAGATGTTTGAGATAGCAGGCCTTGTTTTGCAAGTGGGTTAGTTCCTGGTTACTATACTGCTGTCCTAATTTGCCAGCCAGGGACTTGAAGACTTGAAGACTTCTACTGTTGCTGCTGTGAAGTCACCCAACGTCCAGCCCTTGCACACCCCTCAGCCCTGCTGCTGACACCTGCCTTTTGTCTCCCTTCACAGAAAATCCTGACCATGATCCCAACCGAGGAGGAGAAGCAAAAGATCCAGGAGGCGCAGCTGGCGAACCCTGATGTCCCCCTGGGCAGCGCCGAGCAGTTCCTTCTCACCCTCTCCTCCATCAGCGAACTCTCCGCCAGGCTCCAGCTCTGGGCTTTCAAGATGGACTACGAGATAGTGGAAAAGGTGAGGGGAAAGCAGGGAGGCAGCAGTGGAGACTCTTCCCAGGCTTTGCTTAAACTTTCCCTGACCTTATTATTATATGAGCATATATTTTGAAAAAACAGTGAATGGGTCGCTTTTGTTTTGGTGGCCAACCAAGAAACAGCTAGAATGATCCTTCATAATCTGTTCCTTCCGTAAAAGAAAACTAGAGGTTATGTCTTCTTTCCTTTAATTAGTCAGTAATGATATTGAAGCAAAGAAGAGGGCTAAATCCTTACCACATCTTCTCTAGATGTTGTTATTCAGGAAATTCTTACTTCAGAGCAGTAAGAGTTTTTCTTTGGATAATGAATTAGGACTACAGTATTCAGCTTTACATCGTAAAATGAGAGTATTGATCTTGCATCCATTTGAAGTAAGAACAGCACCATCCATTAAAATTTTCCTGTTTATAACTCTCAAAGTTATAAACAAAACATAAGACATCCTTCAGGGGTGTCACCTTCTTCATGGATGGCATTTATTCAGAGAGAACACTGTAATAGGGTTGTCTGTCATGAATGATGAATCACAGGCAAAAATTTCAAAATGACAGCATGTCATTTCGGTGCATAGGTGAAACAGAATGAAGCTGTGTAGATGATTTCAGCTACTTGCTGACTTTCACAAGCTCTTTCAGGAATCTCAGTGCAGGAACTTTCTTCTGGCTGCACTTCTGGTGCGGACCCCATGTGTTTTTCTTCAGGCAGCTCTCTCCTGTATATATTAATTTTGTACGTGTATCTGTGTGCATATGTGTATATTAAAAAATCAGTATAACTTTGTGTGATACGGATTCTGAGAAGTGGGACGTGCTTTTGACAATGCCTTATGTTTACCTAGCTGTGGCTATTTAACAAGTTATAGAACAGTGGATTGATTTGCAGATGATACTGTCAAGATTATTCAACTTCTGCTTAATTTTCTTAGATTTTAGGAAATGCAATCACACTAATATTCAGGATTTTTTAATTGTGACATTTTAGTCTTAGACATTTACATTTCTGACCTGTATAACATAAAATACTTGTATCTGGCCTGAATACTTTTTTGCCTTTTTTTTTTTACCCAGGTACAGCTATTTATTCTGCTTTGTAGTTACCACAAGGCTAAATTGTTCCTTTCGTGTAAGCTGAGTTAGCTGTTAATGTATGTGTATACCTAGAATTTCTAGCTTCCTCTCAATCAAAAAGTAACATTTGAAGCACTGCTAAAAGCTAAAGAAAATCTGATAGATTTCCTGTTGCTTGTCCTATAATGTTTATGCTACAAAGTTAATGAATTGCCAGCTAAAATCCATGTAGAATGGATGCTAGTATAAAATGTCTCAAATACCTAAATCACTCAAAGAACTGATAGCTGGAGTGAAGAAAGGACCAGTATTTTTATCCCTTTTGAAAGGTAGATAGGCCTAAGTACAGTACTTACCATAAAATGGTAGAGGAAATAACATATAGATCTGATAAAATAAGAAGAGCATGTGATAAGACGACTAGCAGACAAGCACAGATACGGCAGACAGCTTGGGTCTTAGGTGGGTGAAGAGGAAGATGTGGGATCAGTCAGAGGTACAAGAGAAAGCAAGCAGTTGGTTCTCTCCAGGAACAAAATGTTAAAGTCAGAGTTCAAGTTCCAGGTAACCAATAAACATAAGCATTTTAGACTGAGATAAGATACCATGAGCATATTCAGTTAAAAAAATGAAGTAGTTTGCATTAATGGTTATGATAATGAGTCCCATGACTTGCTAGCATTCCTCTGTTCTTGAAACTATGTTTTTGCAGAAGATACATCTGCAAATGGGCAAGCCCTTCATGAAACTTAGGTGCCAAATCACTCACTTCCACAGTTTTTGTCATTTTTTTGTCCAGCATTTGCTTGATTTTTTAAAATATATTTTAGAATTAGGAAAATTCCTAACAGTTCAGAATGCACTCATATTATCGAGTCATACGTATATGTTATGTAAGAAATGAATGAACCTTACTATTATTTCCATGAGGCTGGAAGTTTTAGATGGTCCATGATATCAACAGTGTGAAATACCCGAGCTGTCGATGTAAGGCTGGGGTTCTCAAGCATGAGACTCTTTTGCTTAACAGGTGAGAATTTTGCCTAAGTAGGTCTTAGCTCCATCTCTGACAACCCGAAATGAAAAACAGCATGAAATTGTTCAAGAAAAGGGTTAAGTGAGATATTGTTTATGTTTGTAGAAAAGTTTTCCAGGTGTAATGAAGGAAGTCATCTTTCTTGGGTTGAATTTAATTAACTAAAGCAACTCAGAGTACATTTGTAGGGAACAGCCTTGGACTGTGAGGGGCTGAACTGGATGAATGAATACTCATTCTTTGCTCTTTACAGAAAATAAAAAAGGAAACCGCTTTCCAAATGATCTGTTTGATAATGTGTATAATGTTTTGAAATGTTAACATGTATCTAAGGTACTGTATGCCTACTGAAGGTCATCAGTGGAACAATAATTTTTCTCACCTTTCTTTTGGTATCATATTTTAAAATTATCGACAAAAGAGGATGAATTTCAACTTTAAATCTTCATTTTCAGACTTCCGATTGCTCTGAAAAAATACACTGTGTTACTGCTAGTTCTTTGTACTGAACTATTTATGATGCAGATGCTGTCAAACTTCATTATCTCAAAAGGAGTTTAAAGGCCTTAGAGGAATAGAATCTTCAGTTGTCCTAGATCAGACAATTTTTTTTCTTAAGGTCACTGTGGGCAAATATATCCTTGTTGCTGACAACTTTAAAGGATCAGAAATGAATATAATCAGGTGTAGAAATGAGAAAAGTAGAACTGGTAAAGAAAACAGCTTGCTTCAGTTTCTTTTCTGAGCAGAAGGGTTAATCCTGACTCCAGTCTCCTGGAGACAGTGTGCTAGAGAAATAAGTGTTGAAAAAGATTGTACTTCCGAGTGATGTTTAAACTGTCTGAAAAATTTAAAAAGTGCATCAGAGCTTTTTAAATTTTAGAATATGATCCTGATACTTTCTGTTGTTTTAAAAGGGTCTGATACTTTATGCTGGCCAGTCTTGATGAAATGCAAATACGGCAAATTACATTTTGGTCATCTCAAAGTTCCCATCCCAACCAAGTTTTTACCCCCCCCAGAAAAGCATACATGTGAGCTCGTATATGTGCTGTAAGCTAAGCTTGTAACCAGTATAGCAGGTTGGTAGCAATGCATGTACCAGATCAGCTGTATAGAACATGTGTGCTACGCCCTCCCTGTCCCAGGACCATTGGATTAACTGCACACGTCTAGTTGAGTTCATTTGTTCATGTGCATCAAACATTTATCAGGCATTATCAGATATCTTGCAGCCAGAAATTCTGGACCAATCCTCAAATTTCATTCAAGCATAATTTTAAGTGAAAAATAAAAACGTGGTAAATAAGGATACATGTTATCTAAGGATATGAAGTAGCTCTGCATTATGTATCTGCCCTCTTTAGGTAGAAGGTGAGTTTTATAGGGAGCAAGAATGGGTATTTCATCTGATTATACAGTATCTAGCACACTGGTTTTTATTGTTTCTTAATGTTACAATAAAATAAAAAATAAAGAGTAATTATAAATGTGTGCTATATCTGAGAAAGTCTAAGCTTGGGTAACTTGCTTGGGTAACTTCGCAAATAGCAAAATGAAGGGCTACAGTATGGCCTCCTTTGGAAGACTTTTATGCTAACCTTTTTATTCACCTTCAGAATGTTTTAAATTAACCTTTTAGGAATGATTTTTTAACAGGTTGCAAATTGACAGAAGTAAAATAATTCAAAAGCCTATGTTTACAGCAGATGCAGAGCAGTTTGATCCATCCCGATAATGCAACAGAACGAATTAAATCAACCCTGACTTTAAAGCAACTCAAACAATTCTGTGCAGAAGTTTGTTGATTTTAGTTTAACTTGATCAAGTCTTGGATTATTTAGCACCTCTCCTCTGATATATAAATTACTTTGCTCACTATGCCATCTGTTAATTTGTCTTGAATTTGCCATATTCTTTTCTTTTCAAGAGAATTGTTCTGTAGTGACTAGAAATGTATGTTTCGTTCATCTGTGTCCTCTTATTTATGTCACTGGAAATGTCACTGGAATTGTTGAATGACCCATTGTGTTTCTCCAAGAAAGTGAAGTTCTCAGCTATTTTGCCTCTTAGTCTAAAATAACAGCTTAATTTTGGCTTCTTGGCTCAAAAAGAGTGTAATAATTTGGGAAAAGAGTGCTGCTCACAGATGCTTAGAATGACGTCTAGAGATAGAAACAATGTGAACTATTACTGTGCCTACAAAATAAATAACCCCGGGCCTCACACAAAGACATAGAAATCAGCTCCGTCAACTCAATTACCCTCGCTCTCTTCCTTTGAACTCTGGTGTAGTTCACTTCCCGAGGTAATGGAACAGAATTTATGTTTCCAAGCCTTATCAGTTTATATACCTATACTCAGATAACATGTGTGGATGGAAGATGCATTAAGTTAAAAGACTAAAATGAGAACACTTGTAAAGCTTGATGTTTGCAAGGGGGAGGGGGTGGTGGTGAGGGGGGTGAGGTTTAAAGTCATACAAGCACAAAACCATATCTAAAACTCAGAGGTGGCCATCATTTGAAGAAAGCTTTAGGGTCAGGCTACAAATGTCAAGTCAGCCAGGGTTCTAACTTTTATTTCTTTGTTTTTTAAAGATTAGAAAAAATAATTATGAGAAGCTTTTTTTATCACTTGGGGCAGGGGGATGTTTGTGCACCTAACTCAAACACAGCAGCCCCTTCTCTGACTCTCTCTCTCCTGTTTGGAATCACAGAAATTCCCCAGGACAAGTAAGGCAATTGCATACATAAAGAAGCAACATTAGGAAAGTATTTTATGTATTTTTTTGGCTGTCCTTGCATGTGATTTATTAGCTGGAACAGGGAAGAAAGCCAGCACACATGGCTGGTTTGCACTCTGCAAGACGCCAGTTCAGGAACTTTTTACAGTAATTAATCTAAACCATAGAATTAAAAACTTAAAGCCAACTGCAGCCTTCACTTTCATGTTTCTATTCTCATGGCAGGAAGTTGCAGAACCACTTCTAGACCTGAAGGAAGGAATGGACCAACTGGAGCACAATAAAACTTTGGGATTTATCCTTTCTACTCTACTAGCCATTGGGAACTTTCTGAACGGAACCAACGTAAGCCTGATGTCCCAGCATTTCCCCTGGAGCTTTTTCCTTCAAAAAACAAAAGTCAAAACCATTCTGACGGTTGCAACCCAATATTTATTTTGTACCAGAAAAATAATTTAGAAACTAGAACCTACTTTTTATTGTGTATCAGGGTGCTCTTTCCTCTTTCAGCAAAACCTGAAGGAAATGTGGAGCTAGGCTGTCTTCTGGTGTAACCCCCTTGAGTTTAGCATTGGTGCTCCCCATTCAAATTGTGAGAACTGTGTCATGAGGCATTTCACTGCAGATGGAGTGATTTTAAGCCTACCTTCAGCAAGTAAAAAATAAATAAAAGCAATAAGTTTCTTCTCCTTTAGGATTATTCTTCTTCTTTCCCCTCTACCCCTACTTGGTAATGATTTTTGTGTACTAATCTGCATGGGAAGGAGTAAACATTTTTATTTTTAATTTCTTCCTTTTTTTCTGCTCCTGACAGGCCAAAGCTTTTGAGTTGAGCTACCTCGAGAAGGTTCCAGAAGTCAAGGACACGGTGCATAAGCAGTCCCTCCTGCACCACGTCTGCACTATGGTGGTAGAAAAGTTCCCAGACAGCACTGATCTTTATTCAGAGATCGGGGCCATCACTAGGTCAGCCAAGGTATGTCTAGTGGGTAAATATATATGTGTTTTTTAAAACCCTCCTTAAAGTGAAATATTTAAGATTTTATTTTATTTTTTCATTTTCTTCCTCCCTGGAGGAATGTGGATTCATTGCGCCGTTCCCACTTAATTTCAAAGATGCCAGTACACTAATAGGCAGCCACATTATGACAGACATTTTAATTTTATATACATTATTAATGTATATAACTATTAGGAACTATTTTCAGGTTAAAACTTTATTTGAACAGTATCTTCAAATATATTTGTTCTGTGGTTTAGGGGAATCTCTTTTTTTAAGGCAGATGCCTGATTGTATTTTAAGGGTAATGGAAGGAATGAACTGTTTTGGTAATAAAATTGTTTCCAGAATGAAAATGTCCTTGAAATATTTTGTTTAACTCCTTTTCTGTCCTCCTCCTGATAAGAATTTTGATGATTAGGAGGTAGGGAAAATAAATAGAAATAAAGGAAACTTGTGGCAGCACCTCTTTTTAAACAGTGGTAATCCCTTGGCTAATGCATAGGTCTGGTCAATGGCTCAGTTTGATATGCAGATTATTTATTACTGCTGCTAGCAGGCATGATAGAAACACTGTAACCTCGCTCTTGGAGCTCTCAAGAGAGTGAGATTTCATGGATGACCCCTAAAAACAGTACATTACTTAATTAATGGAGTAAACATGGCAGAATATCATCAGAAGATAACAAACATGAAAATTCTGGTTTGGACTCCTGTCTTATGTGAAAATGGAAATAATTACAGCAGATAATACTAGTATCCATCTAGTCCAGTGTCTTGATCCAGACAGTGGCCAATACCAGCTGCTTGAGAGGAGAGCACAAGAAGCTTCGAAGGAGGAGGAGGATCTCTCCTAGAAAAATGTTACTTTATGAGCCATAATACTCGTTATATGCATCAAATGGACAAATGATTTCTTTTCCGAAAACCAGCTTGTTTGGATATAGGGGGAGTACAGGGGAGACATGGTGGCACTCTGTATAATACAATTTTTAAAAACTGAAAAAATGAAATCTTATTTTGGCTCCTAGTGCAGTTCTTGTGACAACGAATTCATAATCTAACTTTGTGTGCTGTTGAATTTGCCAATTTCAGGATTTACTGTCTGAGTATATTGAACAGTCAAAACTATTTTTCTCTATTTCATAGAATAACTTAGATTGGAAAGGACCATCACCCTTGATAGTGCAAGACCAAATTAAACCAGGCTGCTCAGATCTTTGTCTAAGTCACAAAAAATCCTTCTACATCTTTTTCTGAGACCATTTCCACACTTTTTCTCCATCTTACCTTTTAGAATGAGTTAAACGATAGCAAACGCAGCTCCAGCCTCTCCTTATAAATGTTATGTGCTTACTGTGTTTGTCCATTCTGCTTGTGCTATGTTTTTTTAGACGTCCTGAGATTTTCTTTGTGTTTTTTGACTGTTGGTATCCTTTTGACAGCAGTTGTCTTTGGGCAGTTCACAAGGACATCCAGACAGTCTCCTGAGCTGATCGGGCAATTCAGAATTCACCCTGATGCACAGAGAGTCCGATACTGCCTGCAGCGTGCACTTCATTGCAATCTACAGTAATGACCATGATCTGCTGAAGCAGATTTACTGCTTCTCTCTCAAATCCCTAATAATCTTAAATCAGGAATAAACTGATTTTTTTCTTGCCATCTGTAGATTTTACAGTCTCGGTATGCTTCCTTGTTTCCAGATAATTTTGAAATTAGTGCTAAAAGTACAAGCCGCAAGACACCTGCTGTTAACTCTGTCAACATATGAGAATCACTATGTATTCCTTCTTTTCTTTTGCTCTCTTAATGTCAGACTTCATAGGTGGCCTCCCATGAGGCTCTTGTAAAGATTTAGGGCCAGAAAGCTGATAGAGGGCTTGAGCACCTCTCCTATGAAGACAGGCTGAGAGAGTTGGGACTGTTCAGCCTGGAGAAGAGAAGGCTTTGGAGAGACCTTCTAGCAGCCTTCCAGTACCTAAAGAGGGCCCTACAGGAAAGCTGGAGAGGGGCTGTTTGTCAGGGAGTGTAGTGATAGGACAAGGGGCAATGGCCTTCAGCTGAAGGAGGGTAGGTTTAGATAGATATAAGCAAGAAATTTTTTCCTGTGAGGGTGGTGAGGCACTGGAACAGGTTGCCCAGAGAGGCTGTGGATGCCCCCTCCCTGGAAGTGTTCAAGGCCAGGTTGGATGGGGCTTTGGGCAACCTGGTCTAGTGGAGGGTGTCCCTGCCCATGGCAGGGGGGTTGGAACTAGATGGTCTTTGAGGTCCCTTCCAACCCAAACTATTCTATGATTCTGTGATTTGGAAGTCTGATTTTCTTTACTTGCTCTTATCTGTCCACTATTTTATAAACACATTCAGAACCCAGTGATTATTTTGATGTATTTAATTTCCTGTTATTCATCCTTTCAGCCAGGTAATAAAGCTTGGAGCTCTACAGTCTCCTGAATCAACCTTGCTACTTTTGTAAAGATAGGTGAAACTTTTGCTATCAGCTGATTCTTTAAGTCTTAAGTGTAGTGAAAGCACACTCATTTTAGCCAGTGGCTCAATTTCTTTATTTTAAGTACTGTCAGAATTCTTGTCTTCTGCTTGTTTACTGCTTTGTAAGCTATCATCATCCATTTATTTCTGCTACCAGGTATTTGAACCTTGCTGTTAGTTCATGTCTATTAAAAAATAAAATACAGAAACATAAAAGCAGGTACCAGAATAGGTTTCTCCCCAGCATCCTCTGTGGGGAAGCTGGATGAAAAGAACTTTTGTCTTCCTTATTTGTTTTCATCCCATGATCCAGGACCTCCTCTGTATTTTTATTTTTTTGGCTATCATAAAGGAATTTGTGGCTTCTGTTTTATATCCTTAGATATTTGCTGTTTGGATTCCATCTCTGTTCTCCTAATTTTCCTCTTGTACAGCCTATGTTTAGGCTCTGTTTTATTGCCTTCACTGAGGTTGGTTTCTCATGTTTGGAAGTCTTTAACATTTTTTTATAGTTTTTTTTCTTTGAGTGATTCTTCATCTCTTAACATTTAGGTATATTGGTTTCTCATTTCCTGCTTCTTCTCTTTGTTAAGGAGTTATTTCACTTTTTTTTAGAATGAGACAAAGTTAATTATGAAAATTAGAATTCCCATCAAAGAAAAGAGCCCTTCTTTTCCAAAATCCGCACAACCATGTTACGGTGCACTCTCAAATCAATCTTTTTTCACTTTTAGGAAGTGGACGATAGCTTAACCCAATGCTGTCACTTGTAAAAAATTTTTAGGTCTAAGAGCGTACAAAATTGAGCACAGTCGTTCGTCTGTGGTTTGCTGATCTAGTGGCCCTGCCCAAAGCGGACGAAATTCTGAAAAGGCTAGACAAAATCACATTAAGAGAAATTATAGCCTTAACCTTCCCCGTGACGCCCAAGGTCTCCCTCCTTGGGATGTTCCTGCATGTGTTATACCACTGATGGATTACCGTAACAAGCTCTATTCCCACTTGATCTTAGCTGCCACAAATCAAAGAGTTAGGATGTGGAAACCATCCAAGCTGCCCTCTTCAAGGGAGTGTTCACAGACGAGGCGAAATCTTGGTTTAGGAAAGCTGACAGGAAAGGAGAACTAATATTTCACTGTGGATTAGGCTGTATTTTGAGCTCCATTTTGTCTACAAACATCTTTCAGAAGCCACAAAGGCTAAACAATTTCCATCCTGTAGATAAACAGAGATGCCCCTTCCCCTGAGATGCACATCATATGAGAATTTCCTGAGCCTTAGTTCATGAAAAAAAAAAAAACATAAAGAAAACAGGCTGGCTTACCAGAAAGACCAGAAACAAAATGATACAGTTATTGCAAAACTTGTGGCTTTTTGTAGAAGGACTGAAGTCATAAATGGCAAAAAAAAAGCAGACACAAGGAAAAAGATTACCAAAAAATAGAATTCTAGATAAATTAAAGTATTAATAGTTGTATAAAAATATAAAAGATCATGAAGGCCCACTGATTGTTTAGTATCCCATTATTAAAAGCACTTTTTTGTTGTTGTTGGGGTTTTTTACCATATTTTAAGTTGCTTTTTCACTGAAGTTGCACCTGAACTGATGTACCTAGTACTGAAGAAAACTCCCATATTTCTGCCATTAAACTCAGTATTGTTCCTAGAGCTTTCCTTACCAGTATGGCAAGGAGTGGTTGCATCAGCACTAGTATCTTCTCTGCTAGTGAATAAAAAAAATGTATTCTTATTAAAAATGTTCATCTCTTTCATCCTCATAAATATTTTTCCCCATGCATCTGAGAGCTGGCCAGCTCCATAGAGTAAACTAGTAATTGTCCTTTTCTCCCCATAATTTTAATTTATTTACAAACTGCCAAACTTCTGGCTGGTTTTTAACCCCTGCAGCAAGACGCTTGGATTAGTTGCACATACTAGGCAATGGGGACGCAGGCAGCTTTTAAAAGTAAGCAATAGGAAATGTTAACGCAGGGGAGGGGGCAAGGATTGCTGGTAGAAAGAACTTAGGATGAGACTAAGATGTATGCAGGGGAGAAGGAAGCCTGCAGCTGCCCTCCGAGGGACTTGGCAGGGATGTGTGGGGAGAAAGGAGGTGCCTGAAACAGAAGGGCTGTTCTGGCGTGCTGTAGCCTCTGCTTGATACGCTGGAAGGCAGAGAAAGGAGAAAAGGAAAAAAGTGGGAAAGATGATCGTGCTGCCTCCTGCGCTGCTTCAGTGGGGTTTCTTTTGTCTCGCTTGACAGGAAGTATTTGTGTGCAATTATCATTCAAGTATGCTTTCCTTACGTTATTTCAAACAAAAATAAGTGCCAAAAGTCAAATTATTTTCCATGGAAAAAAGAGTTTGGGGGATGCAAGGTTTCTTACGGTTGTATCATTCCTTGTGGTGTGCTGCAGCTGCCCCGGTTCCTGGCACGGGCTAGCAGGAGCCAAGGTGAAGATGGAGCAGGATAAGGCAGTGACTGC